GTAAAAATTACTTAAAAAAATTGTACTAAATTCGTTGGGAAAAGTGATCAAATTTTTTTTTAAATTTGCAACAAAAATACGAGAGGAATTATTCTTTTTTTCGAATTTCGAGCGTAACTTTAATTCTGAACGAGTTCCGAACTGTGTATATATTGTGTAATCTTGTTAGTTTCTATGGTAACATATTTGTTTAAGACAGATTTTCAAATAATAGCATATTTCAGATTACTAGTCTGTCAGAGGTTGGGAAAAATAGAAATATAAAAGATAATTTAATAAAAAAATGTTACAACGAATTGAATTCAACATAAATAATGATCACTCTTTAAGTATAGAAATATCTGTGAGAAAACGTGAAGAAAATAATACCTTAGATAGATGTAAATACTTATTTAACCTATTATAAAATATTAATTATCGAAGAATATTTTATTTAATTATTTGTTATTTAATTGTATAAATTATATATATATATATATATATATATAATATATATAGCTGCTGCTGCTCAATTGCCTGATGTAAATCTGCCTATTGTCCCTATTGAAAATCCCCATATGGGAAACCACATGGGAAACCACATGGGATCCTATGTCAAAAACCATGTAAAACCCTACTTCCATGAAGGAAACCACGTGGTTTACCATGTGGTTTCCCATGTCAAACCATATGGGAAATTGAGACAGGATTTTAGTTAGGAATAGACATGGGGAATTTGAACAGTTCATCTATGCATAAAACCATATCAAATCCCACATGTTTTTCCCAGTCAAATCCTAAACCGAATCCCATGTGAAAAACAGTATCATTTATTTATAATTATTTTCCCAAGTCAATCCCCAAGTGAAAAACAGTATCATTTATTTATAATTATTTTCCCATGTCAAATCCTAAACCAAATCCCATGTGAAAAACATTATCCGCCTTATTGAATATCCCTACATGGGAATCCACTTGGAATTTTACAAGGGATTTCACATAGGATTTTATATGGGAATTGACATAGGATTTCATGCAAGATTTCACCTAGGATTTAATGAGACATCACAAAGTATTTTATTAAAGATCCAATGAAGAAATTTTCAAAGGATTAAAAATTATTTAATAAAAAATTAAATAATATATAGTATTAGTGTTACAAGTCATCCAAAAAGTAAAAAAACGATCATTTGAAACACGTCCTCTCTGCTCCAGGTTCTCAGCTTTTATATACTTCCAGAATCGTCTCAACAGCGAGAGAAGTCACTTTCGCCACCTAGCGGTGAAAGTATAGGAGGGACAGTAATCTTTAACATTACTAAGGAAACCATGTGGAATACCACGTAGGATTCCATGTGGTTTCCTACGTGGGGATTTACACGGGATTTTACTTAGGAATTCATTTGGGAATTTATTTCTACTTAAATTCCTAAGTAAAATCCCATGTAAATCCCCACGTAGAAAACCACATGGAATCCTACGTGGTATTCCACATGGTTTCCTTAGTAATGTTAAAGATTACTGTCGCTCCTATACTTTCACCGCTAGGTGGCGAAAGTGACTTCTCTCGCTGTTGAGACGATTCTGGAAGTATATAAAAGCTGAGAACCTGTAGTAGAGAGGACGTGTTTCAAATGATCGTTTTTTTACTTTTTTGATGACTTGTAACACTAATACTACATATTTATTATTTAATTTTTTATTAAATAATTTTTAATCCTTTGAAAATTTCTTCATTGGATCTTTAATAAAATACTATGCGATATCTCATTAAATCCTAGGTGAAATCTTGCATGAAATGCTATGTCAATTCCCATATAAAATTCTATGTGAAATCCCTTGTAAAATTACAAGTGGATTCCCATGTAGGGATATTCAATAAGGCGGATAATGTTTTTCACATGGGATTTGGTTTAGGATTTGACATGGGAAAATCATTATAAATAAATGATACTGTTTTTCACTTGGGGATTGACTTGGGAAAATAATTATAAATAAATGATACTGTTTTTCTCATGAAATTCGGTTTAGGATTTGACTGGGAAAAACATGTGGGATTTGATATGGTTTTATGCATAGATGAACTGTTCAAATTCCCCATGTCTATTCCTAACTAAAATCCTGTCTCAATTTACCATATGGTTTGACATGGGAAACCACATGGTAAACCACGTGGTTTCCTTCATGGAAGTAGGGTTTTACATGGTTTTTGACATAGGATCCCATGTGGTTTCCCATGTGGTTTCCCATATGGGGATTTTCAATAGGGGTAGACAATCAAAGGTTAAGACTTGAGAATAACGATAATCGCGGTTAGGTTATATTTTTTTATATTTATTCTAATTTATTGTATTATTATTATTATTATTACTATTATTATTATTATTATTATTATTATTATTATTATGTTCGAATTTCTATTTAAGAATCAAATATAAATTAAAGAAAAGAATTAAAGTAATGAGTAATACAATAAAGTATTATAAACAGCTCCTTATGTTATACAAAATCCAGAACTTCCAAGATTGATTGAACCTGATGAAGTAAGAGAACTTAGACGTCCTAGGGGTAATAGGCATAATAGAATTGCAGGAAGAGAACCTATAAATCCTATAAACGAAGTTATAGATAATGCGATAGCTGAACTTGAGCTTTTAAGTATGAATTTGAATTTTCTACCAATTTTGTTCATTTCTTTTGATGAATAAATGACTTCTTTGTAGAAATATTTATGATAATTTTGAGTCTTTTAACATAAAAAACTGAATAAAATTATTTTTAAATTTACTCGGACCAATAGGAAAAATATCGTCATTATTATGCATTACTTTTAATATATTATTTAATATATAATATCTAATCTCATTATTTAATTTAATTTTCAAAGGAGACGAAGCACAAGAAAGGCAGGAAAGGCAAGTTCGAGAACCTGCTGCAGAAAGAAGGTGCTGCGTTGGCTTAAAATATTTCCCAACAATAATATTAATGCCATGCAGACACATATGCTTTTACGAAAATTGCCACGAGAGATATGATCAAGACACATGTCCCATTTGCCGCCGTGATGTTTTAGAAGCTCTAAATGTTTTTTTATTATTCTAATTAGAATAACGATCAACTTATAATAATTATTTTTTGAAAATATTCTATGTTAATGTTTTATTTAAGTCATTACGTATTTTGTTCATTTCAGTCATTGTGAAATAAATAAATAAAAAAAATCTCAAAACTGTATGAGTTTAAATAAATTAATTTTATTTATTAAAAAGAATGTAAGTGTAATTGAAAATAAATAATTTATTGGTAAATATAAATTTTCCAAATTTATTCATTTTTTAAAGATAGTTTTGTTTTAATAACTTAGAAATTTTACTCATTTTTTCTATTTATTTAAAAAATTACTAAAAATTTTTTTAGAAAGTCTGATTGTTATAAAATGACAAATTCTTTAGAAATTTTCAAATTCAATAACATAAAAATAAAAAACAATTCTTCCTTTATGAAGCAGTAGTATAAAAAAACAAAAAAAATTTTTTAATATAAATATATATTTAAATATATATTATTTCACTGATTTTGAGGCAAAAGAAAACTGATAACGATAAGTTTGCATAAAAGCCTGTTGAATTCTGCTTTCTCTGTGGTACCAGTAACCCCTAAAAAAGTATTTAAATGTGTTCGGTCTTTCTTTAGTCTCTTCCACTATCGTTTCTTCACCTTCATTCATTGTTATTTAATGATATGAAAATAATTAATTAATAATTAAATTAATTATAAAAATAAATCGACTGATTCTTTTAACTGTCATACTTTTAAATAACAAAACAATTCAAAGTAATGAAGTTGTCTATTCGCCTCATTTCAATTGAACTGCGTAGAGTTTTTTAATATACAATTTAATTGTGTAGAATTAAAATAAGAAATTAAAAAGTGAAAAATAATATATTTGTTGCCAAGAATTTTTGTGTGTAGAGTTTTATTTTGTAGAATTTTATTTTCGCTGTTTATTTAATTAAACGAATTCATTTGCATAGAGTTTTTTTGTGTTTAATTTAATTGCGTAGAGAAAAAAAAAAAATCTATATTCTCTGAAAAAATATTTTTTCTTGCGCAAAAAAAATTGTGTACAATTTTCTGGCGTAGAATTTAAGTGTGTAGAATTAAAAAAATTAGATTAAAAATTTTATATTTATTTTATTTTAATGTGTAGAGTTTTTTCTTGAATAATATATTTGATTAGAGTTAGTTAAAATAATAATTATTTTTTTCCTTATAATGCGTAGAATTTTTTGATGTAGTATTTAACCGTGTAAAATAAAAACGAATTTTATTTAAAGTTTTATTTCGTTTACTTCTAATGTATAGAGTATTTTTTTGGAGAATTTATTTTTAAAAAATTTTTTTTAATTAATTAAATAATATTTATTTAAATGTGTTGAGTTTTCTAGTGTCCAATTTAACTGTTGGAGGATTAAAAATTAAATTGAAAAACTATTCCATACTTTTTTTCGTTTAAAAATATATTGCGTAGAATTTTTTAATGTAGTATTTAATCGTGCAAAATTAAATAAATTTTATTTAAAGTTACATTTTATTTAGTTCTAATGTGTAGAGTATTTATTTGCAGAATTTATTTATTGAGAATTTTTTAAAACTTAATTTAATCAATATTTTTTAAATGTGTAGAATTTTCTGGTGTACAATTAAACTACGTAGAATTAAAAATTAAAATAAAAAAAATTATTACTAGAATTTTTTTTAATTGAAAGTAAATGTGTCGAATTTTCTGATGTAGTATTTAATCGCGTAGAATTAAAAGATTTTAATGAAATATTTCGTTTTATTTAATTCTAATGTGTAGGATTTTTTCCTGTTTAATTTATTTGCGTAGAATTAATAAAATTTATAAAATGTATTGTGTACAGTCCCCTCGCGTAGAGTGAATTGTGTAGAATTTTTTTTGTAGGGTTTATTTGCGTAGAATCGCTACAACCCCCTATTAAACACATTTTTTAAACAATTTTTTTTTCTATTAATCCCATTAAATGTCCATAATATATTGGAAACTAGAAAAGTTAAGCTTTATTTTCATATAATTTTGATAAAAATCGACGGGGGGATGTTTTGAGATATTAAGAATTTCAACTTTCAAACAGGAATTTCTCTACGAAATTGAGAAAAAGTTAAAAAATTAAAATAGCACTAGAAAGTTCATGAAATTCTCTTTCGATTCAGTGTATAATATGTTCAAAATAATTAAATTTTTAAATAATTAAATTTATTAGAAAATCGCTCTTCTTGCGATTGTTTTTTGTCGTTGGAATGATTTGAAATGAAATGCCTCTATTATAGATTGACTCTAAAAAATTTGAACACAAAATATAATATACACATCTGCTGTCTAAATTAAAAACCTAGTAACTGGTTACTAGGTTTTAACTTTGTACAGCAGACATACCCAATCTTCAGGTCGATTAATATTTTGCAAATAGTGATTATAAGTGTTGTGATTCTCTCTGTGAAAAGTGTACACATGTCTTGAATTGTCAGGTCCTGCAGGTGTAAACTGCCTTCGAAATGTTGAATTTCCCCCTCCCTCATTTTCTTCTCTTCTTCTTTCTAAATATCATACGTAATGAAACTTTATATATTTTAATTAGTTAATTAATAATTTATTAACCTTAAGATTCTGGCGGCGACGGTAAACGTATTGTATCTTCATCTGCGTCCAGTAAAACAGTATCAGATGTTCCATTTCTTTCCATTTTCGAATAGTCATTTTCTTGTTCAACAACTTTTTCAGAAAAATCGAGCATTCTCTTGGTTGTCTGCAAATATTAGATCACATGTAATTTATATATTTTTTTGTTTTATAAATTAAAGAATTTTAAAATTGTAAAAATAAATTGTTTTGTATAATATTCTAACAAATTATTTAATTAATTTATATATTTTTTAAAAATTATTTTCAAACTTTTAATATATGTCGTATAATTTTTTTAAATTAAAATGATTTATTATAATTTTTCAAATTGATAAAGTATTGTTACTGGTGTAATTAGTATAATATAAATATGGTCTAATACCAGTTTTGGTCTTTTGTTTTGCAATTTCGGATTTTCTTGTTGTCTTAAAGAACAACCTTCATTATCTTCCGATAATGAAGGTACAAGTTGTTGTTGAAACGGTGAAAGAACTCTGGGGGTTTCTTTTCTTCTATTTTCATCTAAAAATGATTTTTAGTTAAATAATAAGTAATTAATTATTATTAAATTATTAACTTTTTATTTGTTTATTTTTAATTAACCTAGAGAATTGTTCAGTTCAGAATTAAGTTCAACGCCTTTATTCTGCTCAGACGAAAGATCACTTGATTCATTTGAATCTGAGTCGGACCAGTCAGAAAGTAAATCATCAAGTTTCTTGCGATTCTCCAACATCCTCGTATGTTTACTCAATATATTTTCATTTTGTTGATGTTGAGCTTCTTTTTAAAGTAAATCGGTTTTTTTCTTCTCCAAATTCTTCGCTTTCTGTAAAAGTAATAACATTTGTACAAATAAATTATTTTTTTTCAAAAGTAAATAATTACAGAAAAAAATGTAATTATATATTATTTTTATTTTGTGTAATTTTTTTTCTAAATTTCAACTGTCGCTTGAAATTTAAATAATTTAAAATGTTTAATATATGTAATCAAATAAATATAAATATAAAGTAAAAAATTAAATTTATTATTAAATTATTCTTTTATATAAAAATTAAATAATACCTGTTTTGGTTTATTCTTTTCACGGATTCTCTTTGATTGTTTTTTTTAAGTTCCTACATCAGATGCAAAACTAAGCAATCTCTTATAAGCAAATTTTAAACGAGTAGACTCTTTCTTTTTTTCCACATTAGAACGACTAGCTGAAATTAAACATATTTTCAGAATATACTTGCTTCAAAAGTAATAAAAAAGTTAATTGTTAAAGATTTCTCAATCTTGAGAATTGAAAATATAATAATATTTTTAGTTGTGACCGTTCTTATAGGCCTGTGCGGTATTAAAAATCCATAACCGGTTTTCGGTTTTTGAAAAAACCGGTTCTTCAGTCGGTTTTCGGTATTAAAAAAAATACCGGTATTTTTTTTACCGGTTTTTTTAAAAATACCGGTATTTTTTTTAAAACCGGTTTTTTTAAAAATACCGGTATTTTCTTTAAAACCGGTTTTTTTAAAAATACCGGTATTTTTTTTAAACCGGTTTTTTTAAAAATACCGGTATTTTTTTTAAACCGGTTTTTTTTAAAAATACCGGTATTTTTTTTAAACCGGTTTTTTTAAAAATACCGGTATTTTTTTTTAAACAGGTTTTTTTTAAATACTGGTATTTTTTTAACCGGTTTTTTTTATATACCGGTATTTTGAATACGAGCATTTAAAAAACGGGTTTTCAAATACCATTTTATTTAAAAAGAAAACTGAGTTAAGGAAATTTGGATTATTACAAAAATCAGGTTGTTTTTCAAAAACAAAATTTTTTAATTGATCTGTTAAGTAAAATATTACTTTTTCATGTTCAAATTTTAGGGTTAAAATATTTATTAAAACATTTTTTAGAAAAATGAATCGTTTATTTTGGCTTTGGGACATGTTTCTTATTCATTGATAAAAAAATTAGTTTATCCGCATGTTCTCCAGTTAGACATGTCCTTTGATCACTAATCACTCGACCACCGGCACTAAACACACGCTCGGATGGTGTGCTGGTCGCCATTATTGTCAGGTATTTCATTGCAAAGTTTGCCATTAGAGGAAATGTTGCATTACGCTCTTTCCACCACATGAGGACATTGTCATCCATCGAGACCGGTGGATGACTTTCATACCTGTTCAGTTCTTTCTGAAACTTCTGGTCCACTGTCTCATTCGTCGTCGACTCTCGATTTCCTGACAATTTTGCGAAGACGGAAGCTATAGTCCTGCCTTTTGCTTTTTTGATGGCGGAGATTGGTCTGTAATAAACATTAAATTTTAAATATTAGTAAATTTTTAAGTGTATAAATTAATTATTAATGTAAAAAATTGAAAATATTAATATTTGTACCAGATGCCAATCGAGCAGGTAATTCATGGTCAAGCTCTAGAGTGAGTTGAGATTTAGCAGAGATACTGTCCTCCTCTTTTAAATCATTTTTGAATCGTGGATCCAAAAACGAGACTTTGACAAGCAGATCGTGACAATTTTTTCCGCTTTGTCTATCAACTTGCGTTTGTCGAACTGTAAGACCCAGTTCACCGAAGCCAAGTGAATCAGGGCAATATCTTTTATACAATTTCCCCATTATGAGCTTTAAAAATTATGTATCCTGTGGAACGATCTAAATCAATTTATTTAAAAATTCTATAAGTAATTTGTAGAGATGTGCAAAAAGCTCTAATTTCCGAGCCGAGCCGAATTTTTTTCGAGCCAAGCCGAGCCCAAGCCGGCTCGATGTTCCAAGTATTCGAGTGACTTCGAGTACTCGGGTAAATTCGAGTACTCGATTAAATTCGAGTACTCGAGTCTTGAATGAATTCGAGCTTTTAAATGACAAAAAAACTATTAATAATTAGAAAATTTCGAATTTATGCGAATTACTAAATCAATTAAGACAATAAATCTTCAATTTTAATGTATATTTCAAATTGTTAATTATAATATATGCGAAAATTATATAAATTTTCTCTAGAACTCGAATTTACTCAAGAGCTCGAAAAAATTCGAGTACTCGAATCGAACTGATTAGGCTCGGGTCGGCTCGAAAAATGAAAAGCTCGATTGAGCTTCGAGCTTTTTGCACACCTCTAGTAATTTGATATCTTACAATATGTAATATTATCTTAGTTACCTGTTCAGAATCTTCTGCCGACGCAGTGATGTTACCACCATTCGTTGTAGATTCCCTGTTTTGCGTTTGTGCATCTACAATTGTTTTCTCAATCAAATACACGACTGGAAGTATAGCACTTGCTGTAACATAATTTTCACCAGACATTGCAGAAGTTAGTTCTTCTAATGGATCTAATGTTGCTGAATAGGTTTTCAACAAATTCATTTGTCCTTCATTCAATAATAAGTGCATATAGGTTCCATTTTCGTAGTGAGCTAAAAACTCTCTATGATAATTAACATCTTTAATGAGAACCTTATCAAGCGGTAATTCACTCCACCACCGAGTAGGAGTGAGCCCTGGTAAACTTCTTGGCTTTTTCTGGTGAATATCCTGTATAAAAGAAAGGTATCTATTTTTGACTTTCGATGTCGAAAATAAATGTTGAATGGCGTGAGTTCTTTTCTTGAGTTCAATTATTTCTGGTAATTTTTCAATTTCGTTAACCCCATTTTGAATTGTATGGCCAAGGCAGCGCACAACAAGGACCTCTAAAAGGTCAGCGGCTAAACGAATATTTGCGCCATTATCTACTGTGAAACAAAGGACCTTTTTAATGTCGATTTCCCAATCCTGAAGAACCTCCAGCACCCAATCTTTTATGTTGATCCCAGTATGTTGAACGTTTAACTGTTTGCAACACAATGTATAACTGTGTAGTTTCCACTCATTATCGATGAAATGAACAGTTAAAGCCATATAAGAGTCACCTGCGCTTGATGTCCACGCGTCAGTAGTGAGAGTGACATAATCCGCACCTCGAAGTGTACATTGGATGAACTTTTTCGTTGGATCATATAGTTTCGCTAAGTAATTCTCCGTTAAAGCCTTTCTCCCACAAACTTCATATCCTGGTCTAAAACATCTCAACATCAGTTTGAAGGACTCGTCTTCCACCAGATTTAATGGTTTATTGCTTGTGCAAATAAAATAAGCCACTGCCATATGCAGTTTTAAAGCTGATTTACTATCGGGGGCTTTAAACATATCAAGGCTACTTTGCTGTTTTCCTGCATTCTTCTTTTGTGTAGTTCTGTACAAAAATAATTTTAAAAAATTATATAACAAAAAGATAAAAATAATAATTTATACGGTTAAAAATCGTGAAAAGTGAAAAACAAAAATATCTTTAAAAAATTCGATAATAATAAAAAATAATTATAAATAATGGAAGTTGAATTTTTATAGTATTACTGGTAAAATTTAAGCTAATCAAATTTAACTTAATTTGGGTATCAAAACTTTTTACATTTTCTGAGAACCTGAAATCATATTATACTATAAAAAATTAAGAAAGTAATTTTTAACTGATTGACAATTTTTTTTAGTGTTCTAATTTCTAAATATTTGACTTCTTGAAAAAATAAAATTCTGAAAATCCATACAATTGATTGATTAGAATGATAAGAAAAGCATATAAAACATCGGTAATGAAAATTAATAAATGGTAGAAAATTTTTATTTTTATTAAAAAGACCATCAAACAATTTTATTTTTTTAATTTTTCAAAGGTCAAAGTATATATTTTTACATACTTAATTTTGTCAGAAAAAAATTGATCACTCATAATTCAAAAAACAACAAACATTTAAATGGGTTTAAAATGTTCTTAGTCGATAATAATAATAATAAATAATAAATAAAAAATAATATATAATAAATAATAAATAATATTTAATAAATAATAAATAATAAAAAAATAAATAATAATAATATTTATTTACTTCCCAACAATAATATCTAAGCATTTAATAGCATTTCTTGATTTAACCACACTTTGTATTTTTTGGTTTTTATAAAATCGTTCTCGTGTGTCGGAGAAAAATTTTGAACCGCAGATACCAACACGGTTTTTTGTTGTTCATTAGTGAAGTTAACATATGCGTGAGTAAACTTCATTTTTCAGTACGAAATTGAAAAATTTGTTAATGTCTTTTCATTTACATAAAAAACAATTTATTTTGATTTATTCTGAGCATTAATCATGTTTATTTAAAATTGACAGTCTCGTTGCTATGGTAACTTAAGATGGACAAAAGTCTCATGTATAGCTTGAAAATACTAGAAAGTCTCTATTATTTTTAAAAAACAATTTAAAGAATAAAACTATTCTTTAAGTGCAAACTAAGGACTTATAGTGTTGATGTGTTAATTTTGACTAACATCACAATGAGTTCAAAAGAAGCAAAAAGGTATAAAAAGTATTTGGAACTAGAATCAGATGTTCCAATTCCGTCAAGTTCATGGCACAGACATAAAAATGAACGTAAAAAAGTGGTAAGTAGTGTAACTCCAAAATGATGTTTTTAGATGTAAATTTTCTCTAATTTCCTTTCAAAATTTGTTATTTCAAATAAAAAATTTTTTAAATTCCTTTTTTCTGCTTTTAATCAAAAGCCCAAATTTCAAACCATTAAAAAAGGCATTAAATTTTGTAATAATTAAATAAAAATTAAATCGATATTATCTATTACTATAGTTATTTTTAAACCAAAATTAAAAATAATATAAAAATATTATTAATAATAAAATAAAAATTAAATTAAAAAAATTTTAAACGAATAATTAAATTTTCTTTGTAAATATTATTACTAAGTTTATAAATATATAATTTCCAAACTTATTTATTTCACAAACGTTACTTTTTTAAAAATTAATTACTTTTTTATTTTTAGAAGAAAACTAATGTTCCTGTTAACCTTCCTGATGACGATCAAGAACAAGCAACAGAAAACAATAAGAAAATTGAAATGAATGTCGATAAAGCTTGGGAAAATATTGAAAATACTGAGACCACACAATCTACGGAGGATAATACATTACTATGTGCATATGAGGAAGAAACTGAAGAGACGAGAGCATCTGAAGTAATTAACGCACTACCAGAAAAAATTGAATACATTGAAAAAGAACACTTCGCTGAAGTGATATCGATAATATTTAAATCGATTTTCTGTTTTTAAATCACATACTACAGTTTTTAAACATGCAAAGTTAAAAAGTTTTAAAAAATACCTATTAAGTGGAAATAAAATTATTCTAAAATCATTATTTTGTGAAATCAAAAGATTCCCAATAAATATTAAATAATATAGTAATATAATATTAAAATATTAATTACATTATTTTAGAAAAGTAAAAAAATTTTAAGCATATTTTTTTAAATAAATTTGATATTTTAAAATTAGAGTAATTAAATTATTATGATGTTATTACGCAATTGAAAAGCTTTTTTTAATAAAAAATCTCAGTATAAAAAAGTAAAAAAAGCTCTAATTTAATGAAAAAAAGCACAAATTTTATATTCGACTCCAAAAATTGTGAAAATAAAATTACAAGACCACAGTCGTTTTTCAAGACACACACACTTTTTTTAAATCGGAAATTAATTCTAAAAAGTTTTAAGCACCAATATATTTTGAAAATTGGAGTAAGTAAATTATTATGTTATTATTACGCAATTAAAAAGCTTTTTTTTAATAAAAAAATTTTAGTATAAAAAAGTAAAAAAAAGCTCAAATTTAATGAAAAAAGCCGAGATTTGATATTCGACTCCAAGAATGGTGAAAATAAAATTACAAGAGCAGTGTCGTTTTTCAAGACACATATTTTATCGGAATCGGAAATTAATTCTAGAAAGTTCTGAGTACCAATATATTTTAAAATTGGAGTAACTAAATTAGTATGCTATAATTTTACAATTTAAAAGCTCTTATTTAATAATAAAATGCCCCAATGCATTTTATCTTGGAAAAAACCAAGATTTGATATTCGATTTCAAAAATGATGAAAATAAAATAACAAGACCAGTGTCGTTTTTCAAGACACAATTTTTCTAAATCGGAAATTAATTCTCGAAAGATCTAAGTACCAATATATTTTAGAATTGGAGTAATTAAATTATTATGTTATTATTACCCAATTAAACCCTCCCTAGGGGTTTCAAGACCTTGCCGTTGGTGGGAGGCGCACGAGGGGCTTTACCCAGTGGGAGGCTACTTCTCGATATCTCTCGTGGGGACTGAGGGGGCGAACCGTTCAAAATGGGTCGGCCGCTACAGAAACCAAATCTTCTGTGTTTCGCTGGGCAGTGTCCCAGGGCACGGGGATTTAGAGGGATATCGAGAGAGACGAGATAGACAGAGGCTTAACCGCGGGTCCATTCCGAAGACTTCCTACTGGTGGAAGTCTGACCAAGAAGAAACCCTTCCATAGTTACGTTGGCTGTCCCATGGCGATTGAGGCGCGAGTCTCTGCCACCCAATCCGTGCATATTTTCCGGGATCGGGGGATGACCCCGCACCACCTACAGAGGTGGAGAAGTTGGTAGATTACTGTCAACGGCAAGGTCTCCCTTTGATAATAGGTTGTGATGCCAATGCGCACCATGTCGTATGGGGCAGCACTGACATTAACGACAGAGGCAGAAGACTTTTAGATTTTCTGATAGATACAGATTAAGATATTTTAAATCAGGGTAATGAGCCGACTTTCGTTACTGTTAACAGAAAAGAGGTGTTGGATATTACGATCTGTTCCAAGTCTTTGTGTGATGGCGTGAGGGACTGGAGGGTGTCTGATGAAGATTCCCTTTCGGACCACAGGCTTATAACGTTTAGATTGGAATCGAAGGATCGGGAACAGGAGTGGGGACGTAATCCCAGGAGTACTGACTGGGCTTCATATATTGAAGACCTCAAGACCTCCATGGCATGCTTCCCCACTTCGTATGGAACGCAAGAGGAGTTGGAACTTGCAGCGGAATACCTGCGAGATTCTATTATCTGCTCCTTTGAAAGGAACTGTGTAGTTAAGAAAATGGGCTTCAATGGGGGTAGTAAGTGGTGGACCCCCCGTTTGGAGTAACATAGAAAAACAGTAAGAAAGCTTTTTAATAAAGCCAAGAAACGTAGGCATCAGCGAGCATAGGATGAATATCATACCGCTCGCGATTCTTACAAGAAAGAAGTAGAGAGGACAAGGAGTGTCAGCTGGAGAAGTTTTTGCGAAGGAATCGAGAGGGTACCAGAAGCATCAAGACTTCATACAGTACTAGCTCGAGACCCAATGGCAAAATTAACTACTATTAAGCTGCCTAATGGGCAGTATGCCCAGGATAAAAGGGAGTGTATAAAGCACCTAATGGAGGTAAACTTCCCGGACTTTAAAGAAGGTTCGGAGAACAGCCATGGCATAGGACCAGGTAGGAACCAAGGATATCGGGAACACTGGAAACTAGCAGCCAGGATCGTAACTCCGGAAGGGATTGATTGGGCAATAAGCACTTTCAAACCATTTAAGGCTTTAGGGGGGACGGTATATATCCGGTTCTTTTGCAAAAGGGATTGGAGTGTATTAGAGTACCCCTGTGTAAAATTATGAGAGCGTGTATAGCTCTTGGTTACACACCGGAGTCTCAGAAAAAGACGAGGTTGTGTTTATTCTAAAGGCCGGTCGGTCAGGGTATACTGCGGCGAAGGACTTCAGGCCAATCAGCTTAACTTCTTTTATATTAAAGACGTTAGAGAAACTGGTGGATAATTTTATTAGGCAGGAATGTCTTAGAGATCATCCCCTACATCAGGGACAGCATGCATATAGAGCAGGCTTCTCAGTAGAAACAGCCCTCCATTCAGCAGTAGGTAGAATAGAGGGACAAATCAGCAGTGGTGGCTATGCGGTTGGTATCTTTCTTGATATCGAAGGTGCCTTCCCTAACACCTCTAGCAAAGCTATCTGTAGGGCAGCCAGGATGCGAGTTGTGCCCGAGTCGCTAGTTAAGTGGATCGACAGCATGCTTCGCGAAAGGGCCCTTGAAGCGAAGTATGGTGAGGCTAAGGTAACAGGCCTTGTCTCAAAAGGGTGCCCACAAGGAGGAGTCCTCTCTCATTTATTGTGGTGCTTAGTGGCAGATGAGTTAATTAGAAACCTCAATAGCCAGGGATATTATACGCAAAGTTATGCGGATGATTTCCTTATAATTGAGGAGCTGGATTCTATAACCGGCTCTTCGCTCGAACTCACGCAGAAGATAGTCCCTTCGTCAGTTATGTCATGAAAATTTAAAACTCAAAAAAAAAAATATTTAAAAATTATGACGTTGTAGAGGAGAAAAAAATACATCTTTTTTCTATTTACAATTTTTTTCTAGAATGCAAGTTATTAATACTAAAAAATAAAAACTAAAAATTTTTTTTCTGAAAAATTAATTACCTTTTGATAAATATATCGTCATTTCTCAGTCAAATATTAATGAAATGAACCGATTTTTTTTGGCTTGAACAATATACCTTACCGAAGCCCACAAGCCAAAGTAAAGTCCAAAAAAACAAATTGTTTATTAATTATTAATTTTGAAAGTTGTTATTTACAACAACAGGAATTTCAATTTTCAACGAGAAAAAGTATGCGACGAAATTTCACATTATGAAAACTTCTCGCGAGAAAGTTTTTCCTTTATTATTCAGGAAGTTTTTCCAAAAAGAATTAAACCGATTCGATGAGAAATAAAGAAAATAAACTGATAACGGTTAAAGAGAAACTGGACCAACTGCAAGCAATGATTTTCAGGGTATTACGGGAGCTATGAGAACCACGCCAACAGCTGCGTTGGGATTCATGTTAGCCGAAGTACCTCTGCATATTTCCGCGGTGAAAAAGGCGGCTCTTACTATGAGCAGGTTAACCGCGCAGGGAAGGTGGAAGGTTGGTGGTATACACACCAAGCTTCCACGCTCAATTCTATCAATACCAGAATTAAGTATGGTGCAAGATAGAATGATCAAGAGGGTGAAATTTAAACCCAGCTTTAAGATCATTACACCTTCCAGAATGGACTGGAAGAAAGGTTTTCCACTTGGGGACGAAGTCTGGTATACAAATGGCTCCAAGATGGACTGCGGTGCAGGCTTCGGAATCTATCGAAAAACTGGCTGCATTAAAGTGGCTGAGTCACTAGGACAATATGCCACGGTCTGGCAGACAGAGGTCTGTGCGATTTTAACTTGCGCCCAAATATCCATTCGAAATGGAACAAAGGGCAAGAGGATTAGTATTTGTGTGGATAGTCAGGCGGCCTTGGGGGCTCTGAAAAATCCCACAATAGAATCAAAACTCGTCTGGGAATGCCGCAGCGTACTAGATGAGTTGGGTTCAGCAAATAAACTTTCATTGATTTGGGTACCGGGTCACTCGGGAATCAAGGGTAATGAAAGAGTAGACGTCTTGGCGAAAATCGGTTTCAGGACGGAGTTTATAGGTCCTGAACCAGCATTGGCAATAATGTCGTGCTTGGTTAAGGGAGCCATAGAAAGATGGGGTCAAAAGGAACATGAGAAGTATTGGGCGAACGTTAGGGTGGCAAGGCAAGCGAAAACTCTGTTGGGGCTAGCACTCAACAAGAGGCTAAAAAAAATCTCCTAAAACTCGATAAGATCAGAGTTAGAACCGTAGTTCGTCTACTTACGGGTCATGGACTATTGAATTACCATCAGCATAAAATAGGCAGACAAGTTTCACCTATGTGCAGACTGTGTGGGGAGAGTAACGAAACTTCGACTCACTTATTATCTGAATGCTCAGCGCTAGCTAGGATCAGGCTATCTAGTTGGGGTCAAGCAATTATTGACCCTAAACAGGTAAGCAACCTATCGATAGAAGAGATACTGGACTTCTGGAGAAGAACAGGACTCTAAGGGGTGCTATAAACGAGCGAGCTGGAGTCTGGTACAATAGGTTTTATAACCTAGGTGCTTACTTTCCCCTCTTGAGGAAAACCCAGCTCGATCTCGGTTGTTAGATTAGATTAGATTACCCAATTAAAAAGCTCTTCTTCAATAAAAATAGTTTAAATTTATTCAGTTAACTTGTTCCGGAAAAACTCTTCTATAATAAAAAAGCTCCAATTTAATAAAAAAGAAGATTTGATATTCGACTCGAAAAATGGTGAAAATAAAATTACAAGAGAAGTGTCGTTTTTCAAGTCACATATTTTTTCTGAATCGGAAATAATTTCTTAAAAGATCTGAGCACCAATATATTTTAAAATTGGAGCTTAATTAAATTATTATGATATTATTACCGAATTAAAAAAGCTTTTTTTCAATGAAACTAGTTTAAATATATTCAGTAAACTAGTTCTAAAAAAGCTCTTATTTAATCAAAAAGGCTCTAATTTGACGAAAAAAGCAATTTTTTCTGAATCGGAAATTAATTGTAGCAAGTTCTGAGCACTAATATATTTTTAAATTGGAGTATTTAAGTTATTATTACCCAATTAAAAAGCTCTTCTTTAATAAAAAAAAAAGCTCCAATATAGCCAACAAACTTGTTTCTGAAAAATCTTTTCTGTAATATAAAAAACTCCAATTTGATAAAAGCTTGACCTTTTTTATAATTATACAAATCTAAGGCGTTTACTTTGCGTCATAATTGTCATAATATTGTTCTATTTTTTAAAAACAAATACTTACTTTTTGGAAATTATAGTTCTTCTCCGAGTACTAAAATTTTTAAAGTTTCTTGTATAGTATTATTATAATTAAAATTTTTATTTTAGAAACAACATCAAGAGATTGGTTCTGACGATGACGATTATTTTATGGATGCAAGCGATGAGATGTGTGAAACAGAAGATTTTGAGGAAACTATTGAAGACGATCGAGATTCATCAATACAGGAGGAAGCCAAAGACCTTTTATCACCAAGAGGTTATAAGTCCCTTTTTGAAGCTATAAACATCGAAGATTTAAAAGACCTATTAATGTCTCTGTAAACAAAACAGTGGGAGAAGTAATGCTAATGGTTTTAAAATTTATACTCGTTCACTCCCTTTCATTAACAGCTATTACCGATTTATTTAATTTAATTAATTGCATTTTTAGTGAATATTTTTTACCAAATACGCGGTATCTCATTGATAAGTTGTTTTATCCGAAAAATAATACGAAACTCTATGCAACATGTCCGAAATGTAGTGCTTACATAGGCATCTTTGAACGAAAAAATACTTTTTTAAAATGTAAAATATGTAAGTTGGAATTTAATTGCAAAGATTACGCGTATAAAGATTTTTTTGCATTGATGGACGTGACGCATCCAATTTCTAAATTAATTCAAGCTAATAGCGAGTATTGGGAATATGTTGTAAAGCAGAGACCTTATGAAAGTAATGTTATCGAAGATATTTATGACGGAAAGAAATATCGTGAATTTTTGAGTACTTTAAACGAATATGACAGACTTCATTATGCTTCTTTGGTTTTTAATACTGATGGTGCACCTCTTTTCGAAAGTTCGACTCACTTAATCTGGCCTATCTTTTTAATGATTAACGAATTGCTTTATCATATTAGAAGTAAAGAACTAGTTCTTGCTGGGTTGTGGTTCGGTAAAGACAAGCCTAATATGAGCGTATTCTTAGATCCCTTTGTTGACCAAATGAGTGATCTTGCACAGAATGGTGTCAAAGTTAATATAGACGGAATAGAAACTTTAATTAAAATTTTCTCTTTAGTTTGTTCTGTAGATTCTGTTGCTAAGGCACCCGTTCAGGGACACAAACTATTTAACGGAGAATATGGTTGCGGTCAATGTCTTTACCCTGGTGAAACAGTTAGATGTAATCCTTCAAATCCACGATCAGGAACCATAAAGTATCCCATAACAGATAAAATTCCTCAAATGAGAAAAGTTAAGGATACTATAAAGAACATGATAAAAGCCGCTAGTTTAAAGAAACCAATTTTCGGAGTTAAATATCCATCTCCTTTAATAAATTTACTTCATTTTGACATCGTTTCTGGTTTCGTAACCGAATCTCTGCACTGCTGTTCAGGAATAGCAAAACAATTTGCAACTATGTGGTTCGGAACTAATAAGAAATCCGGACTGATTCCTAGAGCAAAGATTTTAGACATCGATGAACTCATGGCTAAAATCAAAGTACCTCATCAAATTGTGCGACTCACTCGATCATTTTCAGATAGAGCATTTTGGAAAGCCCGTGAGTGGGAAAACTGGACGCTGTATTATAGCCTTATTATTCTTCAAGGAATATTACCAGACAATCTTCTCGCTCACTGGGTTTGTTTGTAGAAGCAATCTACATTTTTAGTCAAAACAGAATCACATTTCAAGAAATAGACCGCGCTGATGAATTACTCCATGAGTTTGTCGTAAAAACCGAACTATTGTATTCCAAAATTGCAATGACATCTAACGTGCACTCGTTATTGCACTTGGCAAGAACTGTATTGAATTGGGGACCACTGTGGGCTAATAACGCATATTCTTTTGAATCCGGTAACGGTAAATTGTTACAACAAATTCACGCAGCAAAAAGAGTGCACCATCAAATTTGTCGTCAAATTAGTTTAAAGTACTCTTTCTTAACACTTAAGGATCATGTTTATCCTTTTGCTTTATTTGCGGTCAGAAATTTTTGTTATACAGTCGGAAAAACAAACAAGTCTAAAGAATCCCTTCAAACAATTAATATTAAATACTTTGGTAGTTCATTTATAATTGATCCCGTTTGGATATTAAAACTGAATCAACCTCCAGGATATGTATCTTATAAAAAATAGTAAAAGGTAGATGTTTGTATATGTCTGCAACCAAGGAAAACAAACGATCTAATAACTCTTTTGCAAAATTAATGAACGGTTCCCATGTAAAACTTGCAAATTTCTTAGTGCATTATGGAACATTGACAGAATACACAATTGTCCAAACAATTGAAACAAGAAATGCTTATAGCAATGTATACGACATGTTACAAGAAGTTGTCCAAATCAATGATAAATATCACAGGTTTACAAATTAAAAACTTTTTTTTGCCAACCGAACAAAACAATCTTTTTTCGAATAGTAGGTGTTTTTTGAGTAAGAAAATCATAGTTTTAATTTTTTTCCCTCGTGCAGTTTTTCTGTAGCTTCAAATTTTCCATTTTCGAGGTGCGAAGCCACTTAAACTTACCTGTAGGAAAATTAGCTTGTCAAAATATAATGAATGAGGTATCATTGGAAAGGTTATTAAATTACCTTTCGATCCATAGGTCACAGAATAAAATTCAACAAAAATTGAGAGAGTTACAGTTGATTAAAGATAAAATTTCATGACAATTTTGATGATTTTTAGACATTTGAGTAACTTCTACTATTTTCTTCTACATCAAACAGGAAAGAATGTTTAGGTTTTAATTTTTTTATTGATAGACTATATCATTACACAAATTTTGAGCCCTTGTGGACCCCGATTGGATTAAAAATGACAATTCTACACTAAATGTAGTGAACGAAACTACATTCTTCATTTTTAGTATCCCTTAAACATTTGCAGCAAAAATTGAAGTAATAAAATTTAGTTAAGCTCTAAAGTTACTAAAATCACTAATAAAGGATTTCTGAACTCGTAGATTTCGAATCCAATGTTAGTTTTCTAAATTTCAAAATGGCGGATCCAATATGGCGGACAAGTTTTTAAAAATCGATTACATTCGTCTTAAATTCGTTACTCGGGGGTTTTCGGGGTCGCTGATTACGAATCTGATGTCAGATTTCGAAAATTGAAAAGGATGGATTCATAATGGTGAACGAGTTTTTTAAAATCCATCAAATTCGCACCTATTGGATCCGCCATTTTTAATTTTTGAAATCTGACATCGGATTCGTAATCAGCGACCCCAAAAACCCCCGAGTAACGAATTTAAGACGAATGTAATCGATTTTTAAAAACTTGTCCGCCATATTAGATCCGCCATTTTGAAATTTAGAAAACTAACATTGGATTCGAAATCTACGATTTCAGAAATCCTTTATTAGTGATTTTAGTAACTTTAGAGCTTAACTAAATTTTATTACTTCAATTTTTGCTGCAAATGTTTAAGGGATACTAAAAATGAAGAATGTAGTTTTGTTCACTAAATTTAGTGTAGAATTGTCATTTTTAATCCAATCGAGGTCCACAAGGGCTCAAAATTTGTGTAATGATATAGTCTATCAATAAAAAAATTGAAACCTAAACATTCTTTCCTGTTTGATGTAGAAAAAAATAGTAGAAGGTACTCAAATGTCTAAAAATCATCAAAATTGTCATGAAATTTCATCTTTAATCGACTGTAACTCTCTCAATTTTTCTAGAATTTCATTCTGTGACCTATGGATCGAAAGGTAATTTAATAACCTTTCCAATGATACCTCATTTATTATGTTTTGACAAGCTAATTTTCCTACAGGTAAGTTTAAGTGGCGTCGCACCTCGAAAATGCAAAATTTGAAGCTACAGAAAAACTGCACGAGGGAAAAAAATTAAAACTATGATTTTCTTACTCAAAAAATACTTACTATTCAAAAAAAAATTGTTTTGTTCGATTGACAATTTCACTGTAAACCAGTGTATACAGCGGTATTAACAAACGACATTGATAAAGTTTGCGTATACATGGTAATCGAGGATAGTGAATATTTGTGCGCCGTTCCAAATTTGCACTATTATTAAATTTTGCTATATTTATTATACTAAATATAGTATATTTTTTTAATGAGGTAAAATTTTTCTAGGAATTCTTTCTAAAATTCATAAGAAAGTTGATTCCTGAAAAACTCTTGAAAATATTTTAATGTGAATTTAAAATAACAAATTTTATTGACCAAATATTAATTGCTCCTACTGTTTTGGTTTAAAATTTATTATTAGACGATTATAATTCAACGCTGTTAAAAGATTTTATAAAAATTAATTCTTACCATTAAAAAAAATGTTATAAATTTACTGAAAAACAATTTTTTAAGAATTTTTGATTTTTTTTATTAAAATATATTATATATAATGTATATTTAAATGACTAATTATCTACATCTGTTATAAGTTTTAAAAAAATAATTACTTTTCTACGAGTTATTCTAATAATAATTTAATTATGTACGTTAAATTTTTATAAAACTTCCTATGTAGTCATGGATTTTTAAGATAAACATTTACCCTTAAACCGTACACTGCCGAATCCATCCTTAAACCGCACACTGGGTGTGCGACACCGGGGGACTTTTAAGTGTGTTCTCCAAGCTGGAATAGGATATTATCTCTTGGAAAAATTATCTTTTATAGCTCAGTACATCTTTTTTGAAGGAAAATAGGTTTCATAATGATTTATTTAATTTTGTGTCAAACAAGCAGAAATTTTTCGACGACAACTTCATAAAGTTATCAAATACACAAAGACACTTAGGAGACTAATGTCCCTCACGGAACATAAACTTAAGTACAAAATGTATCGTCCAATAACGACACATGTTTAATTTTTACGAATTTAACCGAAATATTAGAGTAAAAAGCTAGAATATGGGTGTCGCACACCCAGGGTGCGGTTTAAGGGTTAAATTTATTTTTGCATATAGAATTTTTTATTACTTTAATAAACTTATATAAAAACATTGTATTTAATTTGATATAAAAAATATTATTATTAATTTTTAATTAAGGGTTCATACCACTTTGTCATCTTCAAAAACACAAAAAAAATTTTATTATGCATTTCGAAAGTAAAATATGTCAAAAATGTGGTGTAAAATTTTTAGAAAGATCCCAGCACTCAATATATATTTTTTTCAATACTATTTGAGTGCGTACACGGCTATGTAAGTATAGAACACAAACTTTAAACGCGTTTTTCTCAAAACCACATTTTTCCATGCTGCGGGATGTTTTTCTCGGAAACTACTGGACCGATTCTCAAAATTTTTTTACGAAAATCTTCGTCACATGGGTGGGTATCGCCGGAACTAGAATT